TCTACAAATGTTGAAAAAATTTGGAATTAATTGCTAACATTTAAACATTAAGAACTATTTGTTTAAAAACTCAGCTTCCTGGCTTCTCTTGAAAATGATCTGTTCTGGCAGCACTGGCCTGTATTCCCCTATGGCAGCTGTTAGCTGGAGAAGAGCTGCTGCCTGCATCTACTTTCCAGTTCACCACAGGCCTCACTCCTCCCTTTTGTCTCCCCACAGTTATGTGGAATATTAATGGCCAAATATTAGTGCAAATATATTTCATTGCATTTGCACTTTACATTTTCAGCTCATGAAAACAGTGGGGGAATTTCTTAATCCAGGCTCATTTCTTTATAACATCAGGGATCAGCAAACTTTATTTGTGAAGGATCAGATTCTTGGCCTGCGAGCACTATGTTGCAGCTGCTCAGCTCTGTCCTGGTAGTGCCAAAGCAGCCACAGAGAGTATGTAAACAAATGACCATCGTTGTGTTCTAATAAAACTATTTATAAAAACAGGATTTAGTTCATGAGCAGACGTTTGCCAACCCCGATCTAAATGACCATCCCAGCCCCTGTGGTTATTTGATTTTCTACCCCTTCTGTGGGCATTTCCTCCTCCTAAACTTGATTTAACTTTAAGGCACAGCTGATATGTCTCAGTGGGGTCATTCCTACTGATAAGGTGCATGAAAATCAGATTTAGATCTGGCTCATCTTCTAAACCTTAAAAAAATCACCTTTACCTTTAACTGCATCTGGTGTCAAGGATCTTAACGTTACTGCTAAAGGCAGAGTTCTGCTACAGCCTTATCTATAGATGCTGTGGATTAGGAGATTTCTCAGAGGCCTCATTATAAGAAAACACATAATGATTTCCTTCATACTAACTAGGTATACTTGAATGAAAGTGTATGGGATAAATTAGGGGAAATTACTTATATCTCCTCTTATCTATAATTTTTAGATGGATAAATTCAAAGATAATTATTCTCCCTTAAAGCTTATTAATATATTGCCCCATGACATTGCTTTGTGTGGATCGAATTGTATGCACCAGAGGAAGAATGAGATTTTATGTAAAACGGGATCTCTAATCTACTATCCTTCTAAAAGTATGTGACAGATATGTAATAAGACCACTGAATAAGATCATATTACTATAGTAAGGCCCACAAAAGACATGTAATAAGACTACTAAAATAGAAAAAGAAAAGTAAAAACCACAAAGAAAAAAGGAAAGTAACCAAATATAAGCAAATATATAATTGAACATGTAGATTTGGCTTCCAGCTTTTTGGCAGAAAGACCAAGTTAAGATGGCTGAGATGGAATGAGGATCTATCATATATTATATTGGCATACACAATTTGTTTTGCACTGAATTCTCATCACCACTTTTATAGTAATTGTGTGAAAGTGCTGCTGGTGCATTGGGGTAAGCATTCAGCAGACATTCCTCTTTGTTATGGGGTGCAGTGCCTCAGAGAATATGCCCCATTGAAGGCAACATACAATCCTTGAACACGACAAAAAGAAGACAAGAAAAGCCCCCAAAGAACCTGTAATGGTGAAGTTCATGTTGGGGTAAGCACTTCGTGAGAAAAATATGAAATTTTGTAGGGTGAATAGCACAGCCTTCTAAAAGACATTAATCAGTAATAACTTAATAATTATAATAGCTCCTATTTATCAGATGCTTTCAACTGTAGAATTTTATTATTATTATAATATTATTATTTTTAAGATGGAGTCTTGCTTTGTTGTCCAGGTTGGAGTGCGGTGGCATGATCTCGGCTCACTGCAACCTCCATCTCCTGGGTTCAAGTGATTCTCCTGACTCAGTCTCCTGAGTAGATGGGGCTGCAGGTGCCCACCACCATGCCTGGCTAACTTTTTTGTATTTTTAGTAGAGATTGGGTTTCACCATTTTGGCCAGGCAGGTCTCAAACTCCTGACCTCAGGTGATCCACCCACCTCAGCCTCCCAAAATGCTAAGATTACGAGCTTGAGCCACTGCACCTGGCCTGAATTTAATTATTAAGAAGATATTATCCCATCTTGTAGATGAAGAAACTAAGAGGTTAATGATTTGCTAATGTCACATTATTCATAAATGGCAGGGCTAGAATGTAAAGCTATTTGTCTCCAAAACCTGTTTTTTAATTTTTTTTTTTTTTTTTTTTTTTGAGACAGTTTCGCTCTTGTTACCCAGGCTGGAGTGCAATGGTGTGATCTTGGCTCACCACAACCTCCGCCTCCTGGGTTCAAGCAATTCTCCTACCTCAGCCTCCCGAGTAGCTGGGACTACAGGCTGTGCCACCATGCCCAGCTAAGATTTGTATTTTTAGTACAGACGGGGTTTCACCGTGTTGACCAGGATGGTGTCGATCTCTTGACCTAGTGATCCACCCGCCTTGGCCTCCCAAACCTGTTTTTTAACCACTGAACTATACTTTTCCCTGCCCAGATGTTGCTCAACTATTAGAAGTAAGGAATACTGCTACTGCATTCAAAAGAAATACAATGTGAGCCACAAGTATGAGCCATGCATGATTTTAAATCAAGTGGCCACACGAAAAAGGTAAAAATTATCAAGTGACATTAATTTTAATAATACAGTTAACTTAACCCACTGTGTGCAAACGATCATTTCATCATGTGATACAAATATTAATGAACTATTTTACACTTTTTCATATGAAGTCTTTAAAATCCAGTTATGTTTGATACTTAGTTCATCTCCATCTGGCCTTGTCACATTTCTGTGCTCAATAGACACATGTGGTTGGAGGCCGCCATGGTGCACAGTGCAGCTCTACTGATGGAGATGTGTTTAGAGACACCGAGGTCTCTTTCTATTTTTAATTTCCATGAAAATCCAAGTCCATGGAAGGGATCTTATCATCATCATCATCATCATCATCTTCATCACCAATCATCACCAATCATTATCCACTCTTTCCAAAAGCATTTGTTAAGCCCCTAAACTGAGCACTGCTGAGCTGTGCTCTGGTCTTCTGCCAGTTTGCATCAGAGGAGTCTCCTGTTCACATGTGCAATCTTCTGTGTGTTTCAGGTGACCCAGGCCCTGCCAGCTATGGAAGAAATGGCCACGATGGTGAGCGAGGCCCCCCGGGGGTGGCAGGAATTCCTGGTGTGCCTGGACCCCCAGGACCTCCTGGGCTTCCTGGTTTCTGTGAGCCAGCCTCCTGCACCATGCAGGCTGGTCAGCGAGCATTTAGCAAAGGGCCTGACCAGTGAAAGGCTTAGTGCTGCATGGCTCTCTGCATGAATCACACCTGGTGAAGGAGCTTGGGGGAGAAATACCACCCAAAGCTGGGGCAAAGATGATGATGTATTACCTTCAGCATGATTGCAGAAGTCCTACTTGACAATCAGATTTAGAAGAATGGTGCTATTCAATGAGTTCTCTTTCCTTTCCTTGGAGGGAAGGAAGACAGCAGAGTCATCAGTTAAAAAAAAGAAAAAGAAAACCAAACACCTCCCTTGAATAAATTTATACTCCTCCTCCCAGGATCTTGGGCTTTAGTGTGCTATACCTATGTGTCTTACCATGGGCCACTGTGCCAATAAACAAAAACAACTGTTTGGTTTACCTCAGTTGCAGTAGTTATTTTCATTTAGATGTTGTTCTCATATTATTGTTTCAGTTATGTAGAGGATTACTAGACTAGTTATGAAGAAACCCCACTACATTCAATGGAATTGGTGCTTAAAATCCCATCAATGTGCTGTCTCTGGAGTGATAAGAAAGGGCTACCTGGCCCTAAATGATTTCCTTACATCATGTATTGGTTTTCTTCTTCAGCCTGAACTGTATGTACTGTACCCGTTAGTATTTTGAGCACTTCTATATAAAAGCAAAGAAAGAACTTTAATACTCTGGCATTCGTAAATGTTATTGATGAGATTATTTATTTTAAAGGTTTGAGGTAACATCTCTTGTACCAAAGAAGAAATAAATATGGTTTCTTAATCTCTTGCATGTTTTCTTATAAATAATCATGTTCATTGAAAATAAGTGAGCTTATTTAGATACATTAAACATTACTTAATTACTGGTTCTATAGGTGTATGTTTATATTATTAGTGTTTTCTCTACATAGAGTAATTGAAAAGCTGTTCCACAGAGGGTGTTACCCTGTGACAGGTGTGTGTGTGTGTGTGTGTGTGTGTGTATGGGGAGAGCTTCAAGGAACTTTTTGAAATGTTAATTCCCTAGAAAGAAAGATGCACAGGTACATATGCATCTATATTTTTGTATAGTGTTTCAGAGATTTCATGAACTCTACGTCTAGTCTTGCTTTATTTCTAGGTTAAGAACCACTGCCTTAATTTCAGTGGTTTGTTAGCTCCCTCCTACTCAGAATTTTATGGAAAACATGAGTTATGTTTCACCATTTCTTAAAAATTTTATAAAGGCAGCTCAGCTAAAGCACTGTATACTTAAGTATTTCCTGACCATTTAAGCACTTTATTATTTATGTAATCTTATTGGCTTGCTGTTTCATTAACATCTACTTAACTATCCAGCAGACTTAATATATTTTATATCACAGAGCCTATGAGTAACTTGTGCTGGGGTGCAGAACAAAAGCTCAACATCATCGGTATCTTTAGTTAGTTTATAGAACCAAATTCCACCAAGTCAACGGGAAGTGAGCCCTAATATAATTTTTCCATGTATACTTTTATACATTTTAAAATTCTAGTCCTAGTTGCTTGGTTAAATCAATCATTATGTAATCTGTATTTGGATTTCTTTAAAACTGCATACAGCATTAGTTTTATGCATGAGTTTGCTTAAGAAGAAAGATTCCAACTTTGCCTCATAGATCAGTGCTATTTACATAGACTGCAAGAATGGTCTTTTCCTTTTTTTGAATATGATTTTTGAAAATAAAGCTCTCTGTTATAGCTCCCTAAAACAGTACTTTAAAAAATGGCAAACTTTTTCAGGAGCTGTGACACATAATTAAATAAATGCATAGAAATTATCTTTCCACCAAGTGCTTTTATTTTAACTAGAGTGACATAATCAAATACAATAAAAGAAAAATTAATCAAACATACTTCCAAGTTTTATAATATTCATAAGAAAATTTAAAAATAAAATTTCAAAGAACAGTTCACTCAACTGTTTTACAAACCTGGTTATGTAAAGGTTGTACAACAAGCTCCACAGATACAGTCAGCAACATTGGAAACAACCATTTACAAATAGATTATGCAAAATTACCACATTCCAAATGGCAGGAACAATTCATTATAAATTTCAGTTAAGTGAAGTAGTTTACCGAAGCAGTTGATACTTGACATAGAAATTGCAAGGAAAAGCGCCCAGCAAATTCCCTTCATGAAAGAGTTGATAAATGTTGAATCTGACCAAGTGTGTCTCTCTAGCAAAACAGAAATCTCAAATCCTCTCTGGGATACTTTTGATTGGATGAAGTGGTAACTAGAGCACTCACTGAGAGAGGAAAGTGTAAATAATTAAAGTTGTTTCGAACCTGGCATGTTAATTAAGGGCAAATAATTTCTGATTTCTTTCTAGCCAGTGTGTCTATGGCAGTATGATATGATTTTCAACCCAAATACCTGACAGGTTGGTTACGAACTATGGAAATCACTTCCTAGACTGAGCACATAAATTCACTGGCATGGTTTTGGATAATTGGCTTCTGCAGAAGAGTATGAACGAGTAGTCATATCAGGATAGGTGATGGATCTGATTATGTATGGATACTTTATGTTTCAAACTGACTGAACCAATACTGTTATTCTTAAACATCAGTAAAATCTGATTTATCTGCCACTTGAAATAAGCTTAATATAAATCCCTAGAAGATCACCTCTACTATATTTTTAAAATTTTTTGGTGAGTGATTATAGTGTTTCTGAGAAATAGTCTCTGAGTTTAAAAGTAAGCCAAGGCCAGGCATGGTTGTTCATACCTGTAATCCCAACACTTTGGGAAGCCAAGGTGGGAGGATAGCTTGAGCCCAGGAATTTGAGACCAGTGAGTCTCCCGTCTCTACAAAAATAAAAACAAGTTTAAAAATTAGCCAGGCATGGTAGTGAGTCCCATCTACTCGGGAGGCTGAGGTTGGAGGATCACTTGAAACCAGGAGTTTGAAACCGTGGTGAGCTACGATCACACCACTGCACTCTAGCCTGGGTGACAGAACAAGACCCTGTCTCTAAAATAAATGAAGTAAACCAACATAAGTGAAAAACCAATAGAAACACTGATTTCCAAATATCAAGAAAACTACTTAAAAATATTTGCTGGTAGCCTGGCAAAAGTAGTGAAAACTCAATATTAAGGAAAAAATACTAGCAAACTAGCAATCTTGCTGTTTATAGAGGGGCAACAGACATAAATGGTTTTAAATATGTTTTTAATAAAGAATACTTGTGTTCAATAAACATAGGTCAAGTCCTTTTTTACAGAGTCAAATACTTTTCAATTGTGTAGCCTTTTTTAGTGAGTTGTGATCCAGGACATGGCCGTATTAAGTACCTATGGCTCAGGAACTATTTAAGTCAAAATGGGCTGACTGCAGTAATGTCTGTAAATACATGCTCAAATGCTCTTTTAATAATTAACAAGAGGAAGTGTAACATATTTGATAGACCTGGGTATCAGGAAGAGGATGCTAACTGAAAATTACTTTTAGTCTTAATAAAAATGACAATTCATGCTAACTTTCTGCTTAAGATGCCTTCACAAATTAGTCTTGACTCCAAGTTATTGAAGTGTAGCTGGAGAAAGAACAAATGAGGGAAATTGTCTCCAACAAACGACCTCTCTTTCTGAGATATATTTGAAATTCCATTTCTTCTCAAAGTTGAAAATGTGTGCATGAAAAGACAAAAATGTTCTTTAGAGAGCACCTAGTTAATTTATCTGAAGGGGGCCTGACGATAGGAATAGTTAAGAACTATGTACGTTATTACCCAGTATAGGTAAACATATAAATCTTCTGGCACGTTTTGATGTAATTAATTTCTGTTAAGAAAACCTGCTATGTATTCAACTACTTATTGCCTATTGTCTTATCACTCATGATGCCAGAGCTTCCACTGATGAGAAAAATTGTGTTATTTCTTATCTCCCTCAAGGACCTCTAGAGCTAAAATGATTTTAGGGAGATGATCACTCTGGGGGACAAAAGTCCCAAGGGACTGCTTGCTTGCTGGCTTTTCTGTGTATAATTCTCATCTGAAATAATTAAACTAGAGTTTTTATGAACTGTCAGAGAGATGGGTGATAAACTTAATTATTTCAAGCTGAGTGATGATACATGTGACAAACAAAACTATAATTATGGTATAAACGTGAACCCTGCAATAGACCAATTAAACTTCCTTGGACACCTGTGGGGCTTGTGGTTGGCCAAGAGTGCTTCTGGAGCATCTCTGTGGCTGACACCTAACAGAACAGACTGAAGTGTGGAGCTTCAGCCTCCAGGAGTGATGAAGAGTAGATACGGCCTGAATAACTGCACCTTAGATTTCCCTGACATAGAGTCAAATCCTTTATTGCTGAGATAGGTGACAAACTCATTATGCTTAATGAACATGTAGGAATCAAGGCCTCAAAGCGTTATGTACATGTGGGATTTAGAATAAAACTAGTGCCATTGCATTTAACGTGAGTATATTCAATTAAACCTTAAAGAGTTTGGTGAGGTAAGGTAGAGAACAAACAAAACAGGGGCAAACACATCCTAAATGTTATTTAAAAATAAAGAAGTTGGCTGGGCATGGTGGCTCACGCCTGTAATCCCAGTGCTTTGGGAGGCCAAGGCGGGTGGATCACAAGGTCAGGAGTTCAAGACCAGCCTGGTCAACATGGTGAAAGCCCCTCTTTATTAAAAATACAAAAAAATTAGTGGGGCATGATGACGGACAGCTGTAATCCCAGCTACTTGGAAGGCTGAGGCAGAGAATTGCTTGCACCTGAGAGGCGGAGGTTGCAGTGAGCCAAGGTTGGACCACTGCTCTCCAGCCTGGGTGACAGAGCAAGACAGTGTCTCAAAAAAAAAAAGGTTGTAAAATACCCAATACAACCTGAATTTAAAGACACTGATGTGCTGAAAAACATTTATCCCCAAAATGTACTTTACATAACACAATAAAATAAAAAGTTGTAAAATAGCTAGCAACTTTACTTACACCCAGAAGCTTAGTATGGTCACACAATACATACACTTCTGATAAACTGAAATCTTATTTACCTCCTCATTTAGTGAAACCTCCCGCTTTATTAGTATTCACTTGTGACAAATTCATGAAGCAAGAAGCTAAGTCCTCCAGTTGTACCACAACACTCACCATTGGATCTGAACTTGCAATTTTTTTTCCACTTAGATTTTCTTAGACTTAGCTTTGGTCTTACAAGTTTGTCTTATCTTTCAGGCAAATTCTCGCTGTGATGGGTCTACTTATCTGAATGAGTTTTCTCTGTGTTCACTTGTGTCTTGATTTAATTTAACCAAATTGATCAGTTACTCTGCCATAATTTTGATGAGTAAAACATTTGGATTATAGCTCCAGGTATGCCACACAATAAAAATGACAACAGTCCTTTGTCCTATTGCCTGAGACTTTTAGCAATTGAACAAATTTAACATAATTAATGCTACCTTTCCCAGCCAGCTAATAAACACAGTTCAATGGACTAAGTCACTTTGAATTATGTAGGTATACAAGATACAAATTCAAACCTTTTCTGCATCTCCTTCTCTTTAAAGCCTGCATAATCCTTGTGAGCAGAGATGGTACAAAAGGGGAATAGTGCAAAAATGCATCAACACTCAAGTATTAAGAAATAACACTGGAAAACCATGACAGTAAACACTTGTGTGTCTTCAGAAGGTGGATACAGACAAGTGTGAAAAATACTTTAAGAAGAGCGATGAACAAATCTGCAAAACTATTCTGAGTATTTATTAAAACAACTTCAGCAAAACACTTAACAGAGAAATTCTCAATCTCAGTGTGTTATTAATGTTATGAAAATAAAAATGGTACTTTGGAAAAAGTATCTAATTGTACTTTTGTAAATAGTGATATGTTCTAGAAAAATATAAACATTATACAAATCTAATTGTAAAATTTTAAGTACATTGAATAATATAGAGTTTAGGCATTGTGTAATTTTATGAATTGTCTACTTCTTGTGATAAGCTAATCTTTTTTTTTCTTGTCTGTTGAAAGAGAGTATCTATCCTGTCTAAAAGGTAGGAAAATTATTTAGACTGATCACTAAAATATGAGAGTGGTGTATAAACAGTTATGAATAGTAAATCTTCATCTTAATTAAGTATGTAAACACATATATATCCACCAAAGAAATAAAATCAAAACAGTCAACAAACCAAAGCATATTGTGCCTGTTTCATATAGATGCTTAAAATTAGGAGAAACATAAATTTAAAAATTAACAGATATTATCTACAGAAGTAAAAAAAAAAGTGCAAAGGCAAGAGTTTGATTTAGTTGTCCACTAAATTGTTTGTAACCTTTTATTTCTGTTACTCAGTTCTTTTGAACAAATTGCTTTAAATACCATCTTGTGGACAAATGGAGGTATATCACAGGTTCCCAACAGATGAGAGAGACTGCAGAAAGGCTAAACCTTACTTAGCTCATAAAACAGATTCATAAAAGTTACTCTATAAGCCAACTATCAAATGATAACTTTCACAGACAACATATTTTAATATAATAGCTTATGTTCTTTAAGTGAATAAAATTTTAAAGTTTAAACAATATCATAAAATATGGAAATAAACATAGGGTTACTTTGATCACAAAGTGAAACGTTTAAAAGGTTAAAACTGGCTGTATTTCTGTTTTAGTTAGACGTAATGGTTAATGTCTTCAGCTGGAAAGCACAATGAACAAATTCATGAATTATTCTTCTATTTTTCTTTGGATTCCAAAGGCCATAAATATTAATCGAAGTCCTACTTTAATCTTTCCATAGAAAGACTTCTGTCTGAAAGTGTTTTGAGTTTGTTACAAAATGTAAGCTTGGAATTCAGACATACTTGCATATGGAACACAGTTTTAATATTAATTGGCATCATGGCTCATAATTATTTTGTATTTAAACATGTATGTTGTTTTCTGGAGTGCAAACAAGAGATAATTCATGAAATTGAATCATTCTTCTCCCCTGCTTTGAACATCACTAACATCTATGTGGAAATAAACACGTTTTGGAATAGAATAAAATGGTACAAGGGATTTGGCGACCACCAAGTCATTTAGAGGAACATTTCCCAACCTACTTTGGGGCCCAAATTATTTACTTTCTTTTTATTAAAGGAATTGGGCAACTGCCAAAGCTCCACTTCATTTTTTGTTAAATTAGCTGGACCCAGCATTTCTTGTTGCCCTTTGTTGCACATCATGTGTACAGAGCTGAGGCAGGAAAAGTATCTGAACGTAAATAACAGAGCAGGGTGAGAAAGGCTTGTACCATGTGAACACAGCCCTGTTTCTCTAGTTATGTCAAATTTAGTCACATTTCCCAGTTACCAAAAATAAGCTTGTGTCATTGTGACAAATCCGCTTTGTAACATGCATCATATAGTATTTCCCCATCCCATCAAATTACCTAAATAAATACAAATTCTTGAAATATGAATTAACCAGTCACGCATTAATGGAATTTAGAAAAATTTCTAAATATACAATTTGTAAAAAAGAATGCATGACATATTTTGTAGAATAAAAATGAACGGGTAATAAAACAAGAAAATGAATTGTCTTTTTATGTCTATGAAAGGAACAACTCAAAAACCAAAAAAAAAAAAAAAAAAAACCCAAAATTGATTATCATCAGCAAACAAGGCCATGAAAACATTAAAATGATAAAATAAATATTTTTAAATTAGCAAAGAGGCAAACAGATAAACCACCTATTAATATGAAAAAAATAATCTTTGAAAACATACAAAATGTTTAGCTTTTTGACGAATTCAAGTAAATTAATATGAGTGGCAGATAACTTGTAAGCTTTTAGAAAATTCAACGAATTAAAAGCTCAAGATATACACATAGCACCAAATTTTAGATCTATGTACACTTTTTTGGGATAAATTACCATTTACTAAGAAAACACATATCTATATTCCAATTGTGTAAATTTAAAACACAGCACCATTGTGGGTATTGCACAAGAAAGAAAGCAAAAAAGAAAATCAATTTCAAAATGCTTACAATAAATAAAATAACCTTGTAAAATAAAATAAACTTGGAATTGAAATATACAGCATAATTCAATATGAAATACCTAAAACGTTGTAGGTATGCACAGCCATTGTAGACAGTACCTGACCAGCAGTTCATTAATCTATAATGAAAAACAGTTCAAATCACGATGCCTTAAATTAGGCACGTTCCTCAGACACAACTCTGTTCACAGCTTTTTCCAATTTCAGTGGGCTTGCCTTTCTAAACTCATTTTTCAGTAAACAGACAAAAGCAATCATCCCAGCCTGTTTTAGCCAAATTGAAGTCTGAATCATGTGTGAATCCTGATTGCTGTGACAGGCAGGCTCTTTGCGGCATATTCTCACATTTGTGAGACCCATCATCTAGATTTCTGCAACATCCCTAGGCCCAGTATTCTAAAGAATCAGTGCCTGTCAACCAACAGTTCCTCAATTAATGTATAGCTAATCCATAGGAAGACTGTTTAGTCATCTGGTTGATGATCACTGTATTTTTGTTTCTTTTCAGAGGACATGGTTTTGGAGTGGGAGTGAGCTCTTCGGTCTGAGCACTAGTTGCCTATTCAGTCCTATGGTTCTCCTTTGTTGAGCTGTACCTCTTGCTGCAGCTTCTGGAGAAATATAATTCTCCTTAAGAGCTGTTGGGCCTTACCTTCTTAATATGCATTTGCTGATGCTACAAATTCATCTTCTAGGACAACTGAGTTTCTTTTCCATTTGTTACACATCCCATCCTTTGTTCTGCTGGTGGCTTCTTGTCTTAAAGTCGAGGGTGATGAGGTCATAAGGATAACGGACACAGGAGCCCAAAGATCTTGCTAGGCCATTGAAGCTTTAATAGTACCAAAGACAGCTTGGTGGTTTCACTACCAAACACCTCATAGGGAAAACAGCTTTCTGTTCACCATATGAGAAACTCAGCGGGAGGACCACAGAGTATTAGGCTTTTTTTTTTTGCAGAACTTATATCCAACTGGAATTTGATACTCCCTTTTCCTGTAGTACTTATTCATGCCAGTGGTGATTGCTTTGAATTGAGCTCATTATACAGAATTAACAAAATAATTTCAGTAGTTGGCTATGCTGGGTGTTTGGGCTCCCTGATAAAATAGTTTCCTGTGTTTTTTTTTTTCAAAACACAAGTTATAAAATGAAGTTCTTATTGCCTATTTTTCAGCATAAGTAGGATAGATGTAGATGGCATAAGAATTCTTAAGTTATAAAAAGTAGTCAAAAAACATTCAACAGGAGCAATGCACTATATCAAAAAAGTTGACAAAATGTTTAGCAATGATAGTAAATTTAAACACCAAGAAAACTTAAAGATAAGTCTGTAACTTTAAAATTCAGAAATCAAAGGCCAACCACATGTTGATGAGTCTACAAAATGGATATCATCATCAGTCTACTAAGTCACAAGATGCAATTTCCTTTTGAAGAAGAACTAATGATAAGATTTGCTTGCATATTTCATATCTCTGACTAAAAATCATAGCAATTGTAAAGCAAAACATATGGAATGAATTTGGAAAAAATCAAAAAATGCTGATTTGCAATTGCTATCGGAATAGGATTCAAATGGTTGCTTTTAATGTCTGGCTTACTCAAAAAAAAAAAAAAGCAAACCACATATCATGAGGGTTTGACGGTATTAAGATAGCTCCAATGGCAAGGAGGCATCACCAGGAACCAAGACTTCTTCAGGTGTGTTCATTTCCCACCTGTCTCCTGGTGGGCATGAGACACAGGATAGAGGCAATCTTCTGGGTTACATCTTCCACTGGGTCCTGGGGGGCCCTGGGGACCTGGAGCACCTGGTGAGCCTGGTAAACCCGGAGCTAATGACATTAAAAAAACCCAAAACTAATCACAATGCAGATCACATATAGCCCTCCCTCTCTCCAACCCTCTAGCCAACATGGATCACTCAACTTGACGTATAAGGACCCTAGGGGAGAAGCATGGTTCTCAGTTTTAAAGGCTTGCTTGTGTTGTGAAGATAGTATCACTCTTACCTGAAGTCCCAGGAAGACCTGGACTCCCTGGCAGCCCAATTCCAGGTTCACCTCTTTCTCCCTTCTGTCCTCGGTAGCCTAAGAAATATATAAAAAAGAGACACATGAAATGATTCTATGGCAACACAGCACACACAAGAACGATTTTCTGACTCTTTGATAATTATGTGATTCATTTGCTTAACATAAATAGTACATTAACTACCTGTTTTGCATTAACCACATATTAAACCTACATGTCAAACAGATTAGGTACGATAGGGCAATGAAAATCTTAAAAACATTCAATTACTGTAAAAATTTCCAACTTGTCAAACTCTTTTTTTTCTTTTTTGAGAAAGAGTCTTGCTCTGTCCCCCAGGCTGGACTGCTGCAACCTACACCTCCTGGCTTCAAGTGATTCTTCTGCTTCAGCCTCCTGAGTAGCTCAGATTACAGGCACTTGCCACCATGCTTGGCTAATTGTTTTGTATTTTTAATAGAGATGGGGTTTTGCCATGTTGGCCAGGCTAGTCTCGAACTCCGGACCTCAGGTGATCTGCCTGCCTTGGCTTCCCAAAGTGTTGGAATTAGAGGCATGAGCCACTGTGCCCAGCCCCACTTGTCAAACTCTTGAGAGCGAGATTTTGGCTCTGAAAATGATACCTAAATAAATCATTCTTGCAAATAGCTGACAAGTTGTTTGAGTTCTCTTCAATAGAAATTCTGATTGAAGGTGAGGCATAGGCTAAATGAAAGAAGTATACTGAAAGAGTCTTGCTTAAAATCAGAACAAGATAATATAATAGGAATATGGACCTTATTTCAAGAATTAAAGGAAATGAAAAGAACAAATAACTCAAGATTCTAATAAACCATAGCAAGAGCATATGTGGGTTACCACATCTAAAAAGGTAGGTCTGTGTTCAAATGATTGACTATAAACACTATATTCTCTCTAGGTAAAGTTTAAACATCTACCCCATGTTTGAACGTGGTAGTGTAAACCTCCAAAGGAGCTTCAGCAAAGCGAGGAAACAAGAGGAGACTGAGAGAGTCTCCCAAATGCACTTCATCAATTTAAACTATTTTAACCAAAATGAATTAGGTGTAAGATCTGTCTACATTTTAAAACAAATTATTCTTAATATGCTTGCTATTGGCTGAGCTAGAAGAGTAAAGAGAAATTTGTGCCTCTGAAGTCATTATCCTTGCTTATAAAAAGCATAAAGCACTTTTATCTGGGTTTTATATATTGGCATCCATATCTATGTAATACTTTGAATGAAAGATTCCATGCTGTAAGAGTTTCACAGTGATGATAAATAGTTTTTATTTCCAACTTTTTCACACTTAAACAGCCCCTTCAAGATTGCTCCTTGTCCCAAATGGACAGAACAGCCGTGCAGACTCATGTGGACACACAGCAAAGATACAGCAGGAGAGCATCTCAGTACGAAACAGTAAGCAATGACTTAGCTGTGCTTTTTCATAAAGGTGTGCTATCACAGCAGAATATGGCAGGAGGAGAAAATGTAATGCTCCTTATGAACAGTAAGTATGATCAATTATTTCTCATTATTGTTGAGAATTAGCAGTATTTGGGGTTATCATTTTCACCTTTGACTAGGCCATAAAATGTATACATTATTATCTGAACAACATTGGCAATGTAATCACCACACAGATATTTCTTTGCTTTATATGTAGGACCTGATCATAAATGTCAAACTAGTGTCAAAAAGAATATATGTTAAAAATATTTTGAAGTATATGGTAGAAATACACCCACCGGCAGAAAATCTTCACATATTTGTATTTGAAAATTGAGTTAAAGATACTCAATACAATCCTAGATCCTAGAGAGAACAGTGGCTTCGACATGTGACATAATATCCTTAGTTGATCTATATTCAAATTTAAAATATTTCCAAGATCTCTTTGACACAAGTGACTTTCATTTAACATATGTGAACAGCAGGGAAAAAATGTATATACTTAGGGTCATTTGAAAGCACCCTCCCAAATCCGTTATTTAAACATTTCTGGAGTAAAATTATATTTATTACCTGAGGTATATTTGATAGTTTAACTCAGGTCCCACTATTACAGAAAGGTTATAAAGTTGACCCTTAGCTATCGCAGTAAGTACTTAAGATTACAGGCTAAAAAAATGAGGAAGAAAGAATAATAATTGGAGATACACGAACTTTTTATTAATAAGAGGATTAACAAGATTGTAACACAATTCCAAATGAAGAATATATCTGCTAAAACTTACCCATTTCATTTAAATTCAGTTCTCAGATTTGCAACATAATGCAAAAATATATTATTCCACATGGATTTCAGTGCATGTGGTATTATAATTAAGAAACTGTAATTTGTGTATTTGTATAAGGTAACATTTACCCTTCTCCTGGCAAATGTAATAATTTTTTTGCACAAATATCTCAGTGTGTTAGGTTAATAATTACCTGTTATTAATAGATAAAGTGACTGGATTGCACAAGTACAGGAGAGGTTTCTACTCTTGAATTTCCTATTAAGATCCCAATCTCATTCATTGTAAAGGCTGCCATAAAGCCGAAGGGTCTTTTTTATTATTACTTCATAACAAAACTCCTGGTAGGAATGCTAACAAAGTCAATGACAGCTTTCCCCATTTATAGAATTAAGCTTTTCACCTCTTTAGGGTGGGCCTGTCTTTAAATTTGGAGAAGGCTGGTCTGTCTGCAAAGAGACATGCGTTTCCATAGACTGTAAGTCTACAGGGCCAGGCACGGTGGCTCACACCTATAGTCCCAGCACTTTGGGAGGCCAAGTTGGCAGATCACCTGAGGTCAGGAGTTCAAGACAAGCCTGGCCAACATGGTGAAACCCAATCTCTACTAAAAACACAAAAATTAGTTGGGAGTGGTGGAGGGCGCCTATATTCCCAGCTACTTGGGAGGCTGAGGCAGGAGAATTGCTTGAACTGGGAGGCGGAGGTTGCAGTGAGCCATTGTACTCCAGCCTGGGCAACAAGAGCGAAACTCCGTCTCAAAACAAAAAAAGTCTACAGGATGACAGCTTGATATCACTGTAGCTCACATAGGAAAACAAATAAAACCCTAGTAGTGTCCTAATTAAAAGCATCTAGAGGAGTACTAGTCATTGATGAAATTTGGTGCTTGGTGTAGTTTTTTGGGTGGTAGACTGTTTATTTCTAGTAGAAAGATTTCAGTTTAGATTTCAGAGATTTACTTCTAACATCGTAAATCCATGCACCTATATACATACTGGACAAAGCCCAGAAAATGATGTTATTGGTATTTTAGGAGGGACAATTGTTCATGGTGGGCATGGCGGAGGTGATGGGTTGGGGGTTTCCTCATGCCTCACAAGTTGTTTAGCCTTCCTGGTTCTGGTCCACCAATTGACAGCAGCACCTTTCAGTCATTTTGACACACATTCACACATCCTTCCATATCCAAAGGCCCCTAATGCTAATAAATTTGAAAGGTCGAATCTATACATCACATGAGCTATCCTATGGATCACTGGCTTACAAATAACAGGTTTCCTTCAACATAAACCAGTGCTTCCTATAAACAGTATGTATGATTAATTACTTTAAAAGTTCACAAGTAAGAACAACTACTCCCACTACTGTCCTTTTGGAAATGATGTAAGATGCATGGAATGGGTGTAGCTGTTTTCTCCTACTGGTCCCATGTGAGGTTCCATCTGAAATGAGTAGGGCTTTAGGTGTGGCATCTATTTCTTGGGTGGAACATGTGATGGAGAATCAGCTGTGTTTGAGAAAGTTTAAATGAAGTTTTTTCTCATAGAACTTACTCAAAAGAATAAGGTCTGTAAGACAAATTCACCTCTCCTGTTTATATAATGGAACCCAGCTAAATCATGCTGCTTGGGGTTTCTTTGATTCTGATGTGGCACATTTTAGCTCATACCTGGGAGAATCAGCCATGAGCCCCAGTGCTGCAGGCCCAAGGTGGGAATGGACACCAAGGAAAGTTCTCTTAAGGCACAATAATCAGACCCCATGGGATGATTAAAATCTAAACGCTGTCTGGAAATGCTTTTGAATTTTAGAAGACATCAACAATCACCCCTTTGGAAATTTAGGAAAAATGCAAATGAGGTGATGCAACATAGAGTCCTAACGGTCTTTCTTTTCACTTTAGGAAGGTGAGGGTGCTGAAGGAAGATCCTCACGCTTTCATTGTCAGAATCTTGGTAGGAGTGGCAATTCCTTTTTTCAGAATTGTCTATCACGTCGCCGATATTCTCACTGCTTTCTATACATCTCCTGCTTCTCAGAATAAACACAGGAAACGTTACAAAACCCCTTTATAATTTTGTCCTTCCATAAAGATAAGTTGATAAAGGACTCATTCCGTAGTGCACATTTCAAACCAAACCACTCAACTTTAATTTTAAATTTCAGATTAATTTAGTTAAGCTATATTTAAGATCACACTTTTCATCAAGTTGTCATAAGTGGAACAAAGTTTTTTGCCAATATAAGCAAAGTTTGGTTTTAAAAACTTTAGAAAACATATGAAGAATTATTTAAAGTTCAAAATTACCATCTACAAGCTCTATTAGCAGAAAGGTTCTAAAATTTCTTAAAAATATATTTCAGAACCAAGTGGATATCTTTCCTGACAAACACTGAAAACAAAACGAAACAAAATATGTCTCTTTTAGAAATTTCAGAAGAACCTCCATCAGACAGAATGAATGAGTACAGAACACACTGTCATATTCAGTAGCCATCTTTTCTTTCCCAACCTATATTGCATTTCTGACTTCAACGCTTTCTTAAACTCAATCATGCTGTGTCATAAAGAGGACTAATTCAGACAATTGCATCTGAGGTTTGCATGGTCACTGCTGATTTTAAATGCATTTTTTCTATCCTTTTTGAGAAAACCCTTAAATTGAACAGAGAAGAGCTTGTAAGTTACATGTACAACTTCATCTTCTGAGCACATCACACCTATTTATCTATTAGAGAAAAACCCTTAAATTTCTTGTGCACTTCTGGAGAGGCACCAAAAATTAAACAGCAGCCTCTCGCTTGCTTTCTTTTCAGTGAGATTTCTCTGTGCCTTAGGCAGGATTATAGTACAGCATGCCTACTGTAATGATATTCTTTAAAAACAAATATTTTTAAGAAACAAATATTCCTTAAACCTGAATTCCATGTTTTTCAAGTTTTATTTATTTATATTTTTTGCTGAATTTTGGCCAAATTTAACAAATACTGAAAAGGAAGTATTATGTAAAGGTTAAGGAGACATCAGCTAAGTTGTAGTCAAGATATGTCTGTTGTCAGAAACCCTATGGGGAGACAAAAGTTTTGACAATTTCAGCAAACCTTGGTTCACAAAAAGTTGGAAATCATGTGGCGATATCTTCCAAATTCAAGAATTCCATCCAGAAGCACTATCAGGAGTAGAGGTAGTCTATAATATCTCTGAGGTACAACAGCAAATGAAATTCACAGAAATCTTTTGCAAAAGGAAGGGAAAATGGAGTGGTGAAAGGAAGGCTTATTTCCGAAAGCTTCACTGATACTATGTGTTTGGAATTGCCTCTGACTGAGAGCCTTCCAAATGGGCCTTTGATGCACCTAGGAGGTGTCTGAAGCCAGGTGTTTGAGTGAACAGGAGACTCCAGCTCCAGAGCTGTTTTCCTGGATCATCTCAATTTTCCATTGTTCTTGTCCTCTCAAACCACCGCCGTTTGAACGATCTATATAAAGTTTTCTTCCTATTGGTGTTTACACTGCTTATTCTTCACGTGGTTGAAGGTATTACACATTTTTAGATGAGCTTTCAAGATCTGAATGCCAGTCTCTTATACTCTGACTTCAGAACAGACCCAACTAGAGAAAGATAATAATTAGCCCCCTCTACACAATAATGTAAACATAGAGAGCTACTCCTCATCCTATACTTTGCTCTTTCCTTCATCTGCCAAACTTCACTCTAATCTAAAGATAATGGTGGAATATATGTTTGGTTTTAAAAAAAATTAGAGATTTTAACTGTTGCTGTTTTATATTGTGCTAACTAAACGCAAAGACTTGGCAATCATGGTTAAAGGTTATAAGGTTATATTAGGATCCTAATAGACACTGTTATAGGAACTGAAAAGGTGTTGCTCTTTCAGAAGAGGAAGGGCACATCAGTCACCTTGGGACACTTCAGAAAATGAGGCTCAATATTACAGAGTAGGAAGGAAACTGGCGACAGAAAAACACTTCTTTGGGTACATATTATTTTGGGCTGCATTCCTACTTAATGTTGGTGTTAATTTCCTCTTTTCTTTCTTTATACAAGCTGCTTTTAATTATTTCAAGGAAGGAATCTGAGCTCCTCCATGGTTAACAGTAAGAAGCAGTTTTCCTGGTCTAATCTTTCATAATATATACTCACTGAATTTAGCATTTCCCTTTCAGAATTGTGACTCTTCTAAGCCTGGGTCTATTTGATCACTTTGCTGGACTGATAATCATATTTCTAGAAAATGGCCTTGTCAGATTAATTTAGTTAAGCTATACATAAGATTATGTCTCTTGTCAAGCTGTCATAAGCAGAACAAAATTTGTTGCCAATATAAGTTGGGTTTTAAGAACTTTAGAAATCATGCACAAAATTATTTAACATTCAAGTTACCATTCATAAGCTCTATTCAAAGAAAAAAGATTCTAAAACTTCTTAAAAATATATTTTAGAACCAAATAACTATTTGTATAGTCTCCTATAACTCTTTTCCCAGTTTCTTTAAGATACTAAGATGATGGAGACTTTATTTAACTTACATCAAAATGGGAGGCCTAAAATATTCTAAGATTCCTAGATAATAATGATATATAAGCACACATTATTGCTGTTACTGTTATAATAAATACTATTATTACAACACATTCAGAATAGCAGGTAACTATCATTTGGTTTTAAATTTGAAGTAATAGTTAAATATCTACTTCTAGAATGTACATATGTAACATGTACACATATATGTAATACATAAAATGTTTTCATATGGAATAACTTATATAAAATGTTTTCATATGGAACATATATGTAATATATATATAAAGTACATACATACATACTTTTTTCCTTAACTGTGACTAACATGTTATAAATACAGAGAGTTAAAAATTAATAAGCCTATATTATACTTCAAGACTTACCTTGGGGTCCAGGGTCTCCTGGTGGCCCAGGCAACCCATCCTTCCCTGGTGGCCCGGGCCTCCCATGAGGTTGGGCAGCCAACATGGCTGCTGGCAGCTTGAGCTGGGATAGGAACACAGCCATCCTCTCTTCATGTATAGAAAAAAAATAATATATCATGGAACAGAAATATTTTATATCAAAAAATTTCAAAAATTTTTTTACCTGAAATTAAACAAAAAGATTTAGTTTTCAATTTAAGCACATCTAATTTACCAACTGTTCTGATTGCTGAGTTTTTTGATTAGAAAATAAAATTGATTGTGCAAAGTTAAGTTTGTGTATAGATGCAGCTAAGATGCGTCACTCAGAAAGTTGAGAATTTTTCAGGACTTCTGAGATGTAACAGTCTATGGACAGAACACTAGCATTGAATCTAACCTCAGTGTCTTCCAAAGTTGGTTTAATTCTCCTATTTTTGAATGGGGGGGGTAGACTTTTCATTTCTAATGAAAAGGAAAAGGCTGAATTAACGGTGTGCAAGTAGAGAGATGAGGTCATAAAAGACATTGTGGCTTCCTAGTTGCTTTCTCTTAGATCATTCATTAGAGGAAAGCAGTTGAAATGTAGTGAGAGCACCCAAGAAGTCCTGTGGAGAGGCCCACATGGGGAAGAACTGATGTGTCCTGCCGGTGTCAGGCATGTGAACTTGGAAGCAGATCATCCAGCCCTAGTCAAGCCTCCAAATGACTGCAGCCCTGAATGACATCCTCAGTGCAACTTCATTAGAGATCTTGAGCCAGATCACACAATTAAGCAACCCTTCAAGTCCCCGACCTATAAAAATTTGGAATAATAAATGTCTGTAATGTGAAATGTGAGATTAATGTTTTAAGCCACTAAAGTTTGGAGGTATTTTCTTATGCAGCAACAGATAATTAAAAAGAAACATATTGAATATTTTATTACTATATAATTTTGGTAAAATCATTAACTCATTCAAGGGCCATTATATATACAATCTATCATGGGAGTCTTTCTTAAAATTGCTTCGTTTGTTTACATTTAGTATAACTCACATTTAAAAAATCTAATATATGAACAACTAGATTTCAAACAGAAAACTTGAAGAACATCTATCCTTGCCATGAAAAGAAGTTAACCACATTGTTTTATCTTTTTCTGTTTGCATAATTTCTTCAAAAATTCCTTAGTAATTTAAATGGTTTTATTTTAAAATAATTTACACTTTTTTAAAAAAGCTATATGTGTGTAATAAGAAATGAACATTCAATTTAAAAACTTTAGTCTGGGTTTGGTGCAGACAAATCTTCCAGAAAAGTCTTTTTTTTTTTAACTGAGGAAATTATTTTGTAACTAAAGACCAAATGACAACAATATTCTAGAAACTCTAGCTGAGAAAACACAAAGGCCAAATCATATAGATCTTGTAAAGAGTTACTTCCATGTTCTCCAGTCTTTTAACTCAGTTTAGCTGATTTAATTGAATTGCAAAGGCTTACTTCACAGATATGTATCTTCTATTTTCTGTAAAATTTTAAATAAAGAGTAAATTACTTCTGAGGAAAATCTGTTTTCCTAAAGTTTTCAATTAAAACAATCTTTTAAAAACAATATAGGCCCATACTGGTTAAGAAAGAAAAACAATTATTGTTTCACATGGAATTATTAAGGGAAAAGCCCCAATAGATACACAGTATTAGCTATCATTATCCAAAAAGCAATCACTCTACATTCACATTCCTATGTCACAAAGCAAACAGAATGGAAACATATCACACCACTCATAGGACTAGAATCTCTGGCTGCAGACTGAAGGATGAATGGGAGGCCCATGAGGATCTAATGGATGCTGACCCCAAAGAGTGATATGAAATCACCTGCTCTCCAGTATTACTATCTTACTATCTACCTGGGAATATTTGGTTGATATTAATACATCTTACTCTAGTGACTTAATAGATAAAACAAATAGGTAATTAATATATAGTTATAGTTTTACAAATCATTATATTAAATGTACATATATCTTTATTACATCAAATTATAAACTGGATGCCTTATATGTGAAATTCAGTAATCACAGTTTGAAACTTTGCATAATATTTACTGTTTTGCACTTAAAAGAAGAGATGTATTTCAGTATAATTTTTCTTAATTGGAAACATGCCTTTTAAAATTCCTTCAATGTCTAAACACAAATATTCACATTACTAATTTTTCCTCTTTAATGTATGAGTTGAATTTAGAAGTACTTTGGTGGTTTTTAATATTTTTAGCAAAACAAAATTATTTTCACTACTTCAAGCTGTAAATTATCTGTCTATGAGATATGCTCAGAAACAGTCATTTAGCATAAGGTAATTACCTCTTCTGAACCTTACCCTAATGCTCTATAATTTACAATAATATGTTTCAGAGCATCGAAATGAATTGTAAAGGCCTTTATTCTTAATTGCTTTTCCTCTGTTTTCAGGGATCTTCAGTCAATTAAACTGTTTTTGGCTATGCTTTCTAATGAGGCGGGAAATTGAAGAGTTCAGATAGAAGCATGCATAAACCAAACACACATATTCCATCTGCCAAGGCAAAGCCACAGCAGGCGCTCTAACAAATGAAACCAAGGCTTGGCTTCCTTGGAGAATGGGCTCCTTAATATAGTACAGACATTACTATTATTGTAATAATAAACTACATATTTTAGAGAAGGAAGGAATACACAGAGGTCATGTGGCCCATGTCTATCTTCTATTTCACAGATAAAATTTGTAAATATTTCGAAGAGAGAAATTCATCTTCTTCTCCTAATGCCCATTAAAATGTTCAATTATCCATTTTCTTGATATAACTTCCATTTATTTTATTTTGATGCCCCCCCCATTATGGAAACAGAACAGTTAATGAGTATCTCCCTTGGGAAATCAGTCATATTGTTACATATCAGCATTCAGGTTAAATAACTTTTACTCATAAGCGTCACAATCTGTTTTGTAAATCTCATTTTGATTCCATTATTTCAGGGCTTTTCCTTAAATATCTCCTAAAGGTGTAAACCAAAATTAAATATAGTTCTCTCCTAAAGGGCAAAAATATCAGAAAAGTAATTTTCTGTAATACTTTAATAATTATATTCTAGTTTCATTTTTAACTGTTAATTCAACAGCATCACTGGTGAATTCATATTTATTTTGTGGTTCATTATGACCCAAAGGTGGTTACTACTTCATTTGTCTCTGTCTCAATCATTTGCCACTTGTATGAGCATGTTGCTTTGAAATATCATGGGTAAAGATGTTGGATTAAACACATGCATCTGCTTTAAGTACCTCCTGAATCCCAGCAAAACGATCCTCTTAAAGGCATAAACAGACAAGAATTGAGGAGAATATGAAAGGAGACAATATCAGCACAATTTTGGAAACTGAGAACCAAATGGTTGAGTGATACATTACTTAGCAAGCTCAAGAAAATTAAACTCTTAGACTAGAAGTTGAAGAATAACTTGATCTAAACTACCAAATCCTCAGAGGGCTCAGAATCGGCAGTACAAGTTACCTCTGAAAGTGCGGGTGAAAACGGGGAACTAAAATAAGGAGCATTGATTGAAAGCCTGCTTTAGTAGTTGCTGAAATTTGTTTCTCTATACAGCTGGGCAGGTGCCCCGCCCCATCCCTAGCAAAAGACAGAAGGTTTATCACTATCTGAAAAGGGTAAATAGTCTGCCTCTTCACTGGGGAGCCCAGACTCCTTTGAGACTCAGACTTCCAAACTGAAAATTTGAAGTAGCTGAGCTGGCAGCCAGGCAGGAAATGGAATGTCTCCACTGGGGAATCTGAGCAGACTGAGAGGAAAGACTTAAAGATACTGATATTGAGGGTCCTTCACTTAAAAAGCCCAACTAGACTACCCTAAGTGAAATTCGATGTTGGCAAGCCCCACTGTTCACTCACAACTTTCAGTTCTTAAATCAATATTTCAGTTCACAACCAAGGATTACTGGACACTGAGGAAATCGTATAAACTGAACAACAGAGTTCAGACAAAGAAATGAGGCAATTGAAAGAAACAGAGACTATGTGGTGGAAAATGTTTTTAAAACTCTTTATATCTAAATCACCAATGATGTATATCTATCAGATGATACATATAGGTAAGAAGATTTTCTAAACACTGGAAATCTGCAGGCAGAAACATTGCTCAGGAATACTTAGCCCTAATCTTTCTTTTCTCCCACAGTTGGAGGTGTGGGCTTGTCTTAAGAACCAAGAGAGCCAGCTGTTAGTATAGATTTCTGCATAGGTTGGTAAATTATTCCTGCATGTTGATGTAAATTCCCAAGCATAACAGGGCACTGCAATGGCAAGAATTAAACTTCTCAGATCTGGCAAGACCCTAATTTGTGTGGGCAGCATCATGGCAGCTGGAAAGCTCTCATAAAGACAAATGCTAAGCTAAGACACATGGATGACATGTGTCCTTGTCCTGTGCAGTCACTTTGCTAGCAAAAGGACTTGACTTGTTGGACAAATTGGGAATTTAACTGATGCTCGGAGAGGATATATATTTGCACATAGTGATCAATCTGGAGTCTAGACTTGGGATTGGTGAAAAGACACCTATTTCCACCACAGTTAGGTTTGGAAAGGGGCACTAGGGTGCTGAAGGGAAGTTGGGGGTGGCCTGGAAAATAGCTCAAGGTGTGAGATTTGGAGGGTGTTGCATCAGCGAGTTCCCCTAGGAAGCTCCAAAGGGGTTTAAAACGTCATAAGAGAGGAGCGTAAAATTTCGGTCTTCCTGGTTTAGGGTTTCACTAGAGGGTGTAATCTGGACATTTGGGATGATAAAGTTGGAGAACAGGATCTTCCAAGGATTCCCTCAAGACCCTGCTGACAGTCTGCAGCTTGCTGCTTGGAGAGAATGGCTCTCCAGGCTGCATATGTGCAGGGGTGTGTGAAGCAGAGATAAGCATTAGCTGTCATTGACACTGTCTCTTGTGAAACCACTAAGAAAAAGGAGGGAGATGGGTGCTACTTCACTGCAGCAGTTAACTGTCTGTACTACTTAAGTGTAACTGTTATAACATGAAAATTAATCTCTGCTTTTAGAGAAAAAGCTTTCTGAAAATGGGAACTGTGACCTTGGAGCTCTAGGATTTGTGAAAATGGAGTTTTCTCTTTTGTAAGTGGTGTTCAGAAGCCATGGAAAAGGTGATTTCTAAGTGGAAAATTAAATGGAGTGAATTGAAATGATCCTGGGACAAATTAATTTAAATGCTAAATAACTATATTCTAGGTTTCAGGCACAGTTTTGTTTGGGAGAAAACAGTTTTGCTGGACTAAGTTCAAGAGAGATAAAGGAGAGGGATATCACACATGGAATCTTAGAGTTCAGAAGTCTCAGAAAAAAGTTTCCTCATGGGTCACTCTAAAATATTGTCTTGAGGCTAAGACATCTGTAGTTTCTGAGGGAGTACTGGCTCTGGTGGGGTCTAGCCACTCACCTGGACCTGGCCAGGCTAGAAGAGACAGAGAGGCAATAGGAGAGATGGATGTGAAGCCAGAGACCTGGGGAGGACTCTGCACCTGTCAGCTTCCAGGTAGCTGGGCTCTGAGAAAGGAAGGAGAGGCAGGAACTCAGGGAGGAGGGATGCAGACTGAGAGGAGGAGCTTCTCAGAAAGCAGAAGCCTGGTGAGCCTGCCCCACGACAGACAGAGAATGGCCCAACTCCCCTGACTTGCCTCCTCAGAAGACTCATAGCCCTTCATGAGAGTAGCCACAGAATGGCCTGGGAGTGGGCAGCATGGAGCCTTCCCATGAGGAAATAGCAGTGTCTCTTCTGCTGAACGCACAGGCGGGCTGCCACAGGCCACACCTTCATCCAGTATCTGACGGACTTGCAAAATGAACACCTTCTATATCTCAACACATCACTAGTTTTTCTGAAAATGTTTGGTTATATTTTCTGACATTCTTAATCAGCTTCGAAAAAGGTGAATTAATTACTATTAAATATGTGATTTAATCTAAAGCCTCTTAAAGGATTGAAGATCAATATTAAAGCTCCCTGAGATAAAAGATAAAGGCACGAGAGCCCATAGAGATTAAGAGTTAAAGGAAAAGTTTAGATTGCAATTCAAAAACATGTATTTGCTGGCATTTCTCTTTTCATGGTTGTGGTCAACCAAAGGCATGGATATGATCTGAGATCCTAGATGTCCTGTCCCAGGACTGCCTTTCATGGACATGCTACCTATGCAGTCACATAGGGCCCCATGTTTAGTTTACTGCTTTATTATTGCTGTATTAAAATTCTTAATAATTTTTTAACAAATGCATCAGCATTTTCACTGTGCACTAAACACTGCATATTACGTAGCCACGTAAATATTCTTGAGTGTTCCTCTGAAGAGCTTGAGATGTCTTTTTGCAAACAGTTGCCCTTTTTTCAAACTTGCTGAAATAGAAAAGAGTGTTTGAATTGCAAAGTTTAGAGTATAGTCCATGATGTTTGATTTAAGGGTAAAAAAAAAAAAAAAAAGAAAAAAATAAAACGAAAAAAAGACTTCAAAATCTAACGGTAACATTAAAATTACTGGTAGCTCAAAAAAGAGTCATCAAATATATTAGTATACTGTTATATCAGAGCAAGATAAAGATACTCAGTGAAGATCGAGGTAAATTAAAATCAATAGCATAAATTCATGACCTTTACAAAAACATTTTTTGCCAACATGGCAAAACCCCATCTCTACTAAAAATACAAAAATTAGCCAGGCATGGTGGCAGGCACCTCTAATTTCAGCTACTTGGAAGGCTGAGGCAGGAAAATTGCTTGAACCCAGGAGGCAGAGGTTGCAGTGAGTTGAGATCGCATCACTGCACTCCAGCCTGGGAAACAGAGTGAGACTCCATCTCAAAAAACAAACAAATGAACAACAAAAACCATTTTGTTTTCTGTTCTGTCATTAAAGTAGCTACAAGTCCCACTGTTACTCTACTCTATTTCCAGTTCTCATATAAAGCAAGATAATGTGGATCCAAGCACCAAGATTTCAGTCTGTCCTGCTAATTGTTATTTAAAATAATCAAGACTCCTTGAAGAAGCGCTGATTCCATGTTTGAAGTGATGAACTCAACATCAACTTGGGGCATCTTATAATCTTATTCCTTACAAAATTCAACAATCTATTTTTAGCTTATGGATGCTAAGCAAAGGAAGTAGGAACCATGAGAACCGAGAGCCAACATGGATTTATTTGTCAAATCTTACACCTCAGAAGAATGGTCTTGATTTTAGCAAATCATTTGTGAAAATCATGTGAACCTATCTATTCCTTGCAAATAGACAAAGAAATGTAGGGTGAATTTTGGACAACAAAACAGATTCAGAGCTCACTAAACAGTAGATTAGTAGATGATTTACAAATGGACAGAAAGAATCCCATGGCATTTAGAAAGACCTAATCCTTGACTCTCAGCTTTTTCAGTCAACATTTCTATCAACAACTAGAACGACAACATGCTTATGAAATTGAGCATGACATAAAGTTATAGGGTCAGCCAACCTGCTGTACAAGAGAAAACATTTCAAAAAATATCTTCAGGTTGGAACAAGATATGAACATAAATGATTTGAAATTAATAAGAGGAAACATAAGATTACACACTTAGATTTTAAAAATAAACACACAGTCCATAATGAGAAACAACTAATTTAAAAATATTTGTATAAGGAAGATCCAGGGCTGTTAGTTAACTGAAAACTTGAAATGAATCAACAGAATAATATGGATGCCTTTTCTAAAAAAAGGAATACATCTTAGGATAAATTACTGAAGTATCCAGTGCAGGGGTCAGAAAACTTTCTCTGCAAGGGCTAGATGGTAAATATTTACACCTTTATGTCACAATTGCTCAGTCCTGTTGCTGTAGTGGGATAACAGCCAGAGAAAAGATGTAAAGGAATGTGCATACTTTATTTATAGAAACGAATTCAAGTTTCAGATAATTTTCACATATTATGAAATATTCTTTCGATTTTTAAAATCCATTTTAAAATATAACTTACCCCCACTGCTCCCCATAAAAAAGCAAAAACCATTCTCAGTTTGTAGTATGTACAAAGCAGGTGGCAATGGCTTTGGGCTAGAGAGCTATAGTTTGCTTACTTTGGTCTAAATAAAAAGACACTCCTTTGCATTAGTCAAAATATTCCTTGGTAAATGAGAGTCATTTATAAATTAAACATTTCCCAGGGTGATAATAGTGGAGGAGCTAGACATATTTACTCCATAAAGGGGAAAACCAAGAAGTATGAGGGATATTGAAAAATGCTCAAAAAGCTGTCATGTGAAAACATGATAAATACTTTACCTGGGTTGTTTTACAGACCAGGCATAATGAAAGGAAGTTCCAGGGAGGCAAAAGGTAACTTTGTATAAAGAAGAATTTTCATCAAAGAACTGTCCCATCATAAAATGGTCTGTCCCTTAAGGTTTTTGTGTTATGGCCATCTCTTGAGAATATTGCGGAAGGGATTCCCCACAGTAGATGTAAGGTGAGAATCAGTGAAAAATTCAAAAATGTTATTAAAAAAACCTAACCTTCAAAAATCCTTAGGACTTCTTGATTAATATACTTCTTTATTTCTTCAAACGAAATTACATCAGCCTGAAGAAGGGAAAAAAAGGTCTGTTAAAATAGAGCATAGCAGAAATGAATAAAAAGAATAGAAATACCGGGTTAGCATGCCTCTTGGAAACATCTGTAGAGATGCATTTATCGAGAAAAATGCTTTTGTCAATTGACTATATGGGTCATAAATATCTGTTGCTTTGACTAAAGTTTGGGAACAAGTTGAAGTGCATAATTGCTTTAAAAGCTATGGGCTGGAATCATAACCAGTGATATCAAAAGGTTTCCTATTAAATGGAGACACATGGCTTTATACAATTAGGAAAGACATTCCTATTACTTCATTTTATAAAGTTAAAGAATCTAAAAAGTGTAATCATGACGTTAGTAGACTAACCACAATTTAACTTCTAACCAATCCCTGGACACTGGCAAAGTCAATATCTAATTGATATAATGTATTTTTAAAGGAAGACAACCTGAAGCAGAACTCCAAGTATGCTGGATTATTTTTAAAAATGTTGTATTCATGGGGTAAAAGCAAGTTTTACCCTTTACATCATAAAGTTTATTCTGTAATTTACACATTGCAAGTATATAGGTTTTAAGCAATTTTCTTTTCTTAATTGGGGTCTGGTAAAAGGAAAAAGGCAAATAATGTCAGCTGAATTTTTCACCTGTTGACAAGTAAATCCACATGCATTTGACAAAGAATCTAACATTTATAACAGTAATGTTTTATTAAAGTACCTTGATAATTTTTAAAAGAACTATTATTTTTCATGATGGTTAGAATTGCGAAGTATTTTATTACTGTTTATAGTTGGTGATTATTATCCAGGGCTATATGTGTGGCATTAAGGACAATATGATGATGATTGGAGGTTGTGACAAAGGCAATAAGCCCCATTGCTAATTATCCACTTTTGAGATATATACTCAGACGAAGTCAGTAAAAGAACATGGTCAGATGAGAGAGTTGACAGCTCTATGGAAAATCACCATGCAATGTGATTTAAGAATGGAGCAGAGCCTAATTAGACAGTGAGGCTTATTTTTATTTTATTTTTTTGAGATGAAGTCTTGCATTGTCGCCCAGGATGCAGTAAAGTGGCACAATCTTGGCTGACTGTAACCTCCACCACCTGGGTTCAAGCGATTCTTCTGCCTCAGCTTCCTGAATAGCTAGGATTACAGGTGAGCACCACCACACCCAGCTAGTTTTTTGTATTTTTAGTAGAGATGGGGTTTCATTATGTTGGCCAGGCTGGTCTCAAACTCCTGACCTCATGATCCCCCCACCTCGGCCTCCCCAAGTGCTGGGATTACAGGCATGAGCCATTGTACACGGCCTGAGCCTTACTTTATAATCATTCTTGGGTAGGTTCCCCATCACTCTTCACTGAAATTCCTCTATCCTGTCTGTGTGTAGGAATGTGATAATATTGTTGTAGGGTTGCTTAACACAATGGTGCTAGTTCATTTGTAACAACAAGCTGACTAGAATGCCAAAAAACAAAAATAAAAAAACACCCAATGTGATGGGCTTATAAAGTGGTGATTCCTGTAGGACAGAATCATTTCTAGAATGCTCTATTTCATTATCTTATTTTCACTGTGTATGTGACAAACGAACTTTAATTAATGCATTTAATACCAATTATTGACACAGCACTGAGAGCTGAAGTTACACAAGCTTTGTTCAAATAGAGTTTAAGAAGAGTGGGAAAAAATAAAGAAGTATGAAAATTGTATGAATGCCCAGTTTTGCTTCATATTTGGTGTTGGTTGATTATCTAAGGACACTGCCTTTAACTGTCCTACTTCACTTCAGAACCTTCCTTTCTTCCTAACATGGATATTTTCAGATTAAATTTCTCTGCAGAATGGCCACTAACCACTCCTCCTGAGGATTAATAAAGATATGGGCTTCCTTCCCTAAACACTCTTTGCCTAAGTGGTTTCTACTTCAAAACACTACTCAGGGCAGATCTGTTGTTCAACAAAATAGAGTATGAAATGGACATATTTCATAGCAATATGAAACAGACATATGTGGTTTCTTTGTAGTGTAAGGAGACATTATGGATAGTATCTGTTTTTTTAAAAGCATGGTTTTGAAGCCATCCAGATCTAGGTTTGACACACTTAATCAATCTGCGACCTTGGGCAAGTCAATGCTTATTTTATGCATTTATAAAAGTGGGTTGGAAAGGACACCAGTCCTTCCAGAATGATTATGAAGATCAAGTGAGGTAATGTTTAGTAAGTGCTTAGTAGAGGATCCACCATGTAACTTTAGATGATAGCTATCGGTGCCCTCACAGGGGCCGGTTTAGGTTTGTTTTATTTATTTGAAAGGCATTATCATTTCTTTCATTGTAAAAGGGATATATGGTCGGTACAAGCCAGGAGCCCTAAGCTCTTAGCACTACTTACTGGAATGCCAGGGGTGCCTGGAGAGCCCGGAGGGCCTTGGTGGCCAGGTGATCCCATGGAGCCCTTGTTTCCTGGGGGACCCATAGGACCGATGGCTCCCTTCATGCCTGTAAGGCCTGGTTTTCCCCGTTCACCTTGTGGGCCTCTGTCTCCTGGAATCCCCTGATCACCCTGTTAAGGAAAAAATAATAATAAAGAATAATCACCTTTAGAACCACATCAGCTGTAGTTGAGAGCAAAAGTTCTGGATTCATACTGGCACTTATTAGCTGTTGGGCCTTGGACAAATAACAAACTCTCTGTGTCCTAGCCTCCTCTCCTACAAAGTGGGTATATTAATAGTAACTATTAAGTAGGGTGATATTGAGAAGTAAATGAATTAATGCAAATAAAGTATTCAGAGTAATGCCTGGCATCTTGGCAGTACTCAGTAGAATAACATATAGCAATTAAAAGGTAGCTATAGACCTATATTTACTGACAAGAAAAGATGATAAATATACATTGTTAGGTGAAAAAAGTCACTTACAATACAGCATAAACTCCTTTATGGAAAAGTATATATTTATATTAATACATATAAATATATGATATGTATTATATATACATATTAATACATATAAATATAAATATACAGAAATATGACCAAATGTTACAGTGTTTATTTCTGTGTAGTTGGATAAGATAGATTTTTTCTTTCCTTTTAAATTTACATTGCCTGTATTTTCACATTTCCTTCATTTATTATGGATTATATATATGATAATAAACAAAAGCTAGCAAACTGACACCAGTATATAAACACACATGCCCACGTTCACACACAATAGCAACCCTTAATAGAATTACACTGAGTAACAATGTTTGAGTAACTTCTTGCAGTGGCCTGACTCTACTACAAATTAATTCCATTAATTCTAGTAGAAACTTACTCTAGTAGAAAATGTTGAGGTTCATTAAAGGAAATAAAGAGAAATTGCGACAATGACATTAATGCTCCAAACAACACAAAAATATATAACATAATTGGTATTACTAGTAACTTCACTATACTTTCAGTTACCCTTTCCATTTCTCTACCCCCTCACACCACCTTCTTTACTCTACTTAGTTTTTCTATATGTCAGTAGTTCTCAGCTGTGTGATTTCACTTCCCAGTAGGCATTTGGTGATGTCTGGGGACACTGTTGGTTGTCACAGTTGGAGGGATGGTGGTGCTACTGCATCTAGTGGGTGAAGGCATGGATGCTGCTACGCATTTTACAGCTCCAAAGAGCCAACCACAACAATTATCTGCCCCTGAATATTCACAGTGCTGAGGTTGAGAAACCTTACTCTAGATAAAAAGAACATGGGTGATGGTTATAGTAGAGATATATGTCTGAGACAGGAGGATAATGAAAGCTTTCCAAACTTTAATAGCAAAGTATACTTGGATGTGTACAAAGGCCAACTACATAGATGTAACCATATGACACCCTAGCCTTTACATAATTGGTAATTTGCAAGGGTTTAAACACATAATTGTGTAACCTAAATGATGGGACAGTTGTAACAGACAGACTTGAATAACAATCACAATAGTAATATACATACACGTTCTCCTTTGGGGCCTCTGTCTCCGGGCTTACCCTTGATGCCCTGAAAAACAGACGTCAACATTAAAGTCACTGCTTGCCAAGACTTTGCATCAATCTGATTGATCTAAATGTTGGTGGGTATTCTGGATGCAGTATGCATTGTAACTTTAATTTTAAATTATATTTTCCATACCTGAGCACCTGGTATTCCATCTTTTCCATTTATTCCCTATAAAGACAAAAAAGGATTAATATTTCTAATTCTGCATTAACATAGTTAAACATAACAAAAGGGTAAAATTTCAAGGACAGTTCCTTAATCATGTTTCTTCTGAGAGCTTGGTAAAGCAAGGTGGTAAAATGGAAAACAGATTAATAGAATCAGACAGCCCTGAGTTCAGATTCTGACTTTGTCACTTACCAGTCCCATTAACCTTTTTGGGCAATTTACTTAACCTTAATAGGATCAGCCTCTTCACTGGTGAGGAAAATAAATAACCTTAAAACTAAGAATTAAGTGAAAGAACATGAAAAATGCATGGTCCACTATAAATAGTCAACAAAGATTATTTTCCTTTCTTATTCTCCTATCAGGTCATCCTGACAAATAAGAAGGTACCTCATGGCATTAGGTGGCTGGAGTATGGCATTTTTGTTACCTTCTAACAGGTTTTCCAGCACAGAGAATCATTCTTAGTAAATGGTCTCAGTTGCTGCTAGAGAAATTTTATAACATGACCAGAGCATGATCCTACTATAAAATAAATTGTCAGTCAGAGAACAATTGTTATTTTTCAGTTGGAAAAGCGAAAGAAAAGCAAGAAATGTATAATCATGATTTTCACAGTACTAAGCAGTCACTTTTTATTAGAAAACTGGAAGTTTCTTTAACTTTAAAAAGGAGTTCTAGAAATAATAATGAAGCCTAGTCCTGCTGAAAGATTTATAAGACTAAGAGAACTACTGGCTGGGAGATATAAGAAGGAAAAGTGTTTGAGGTCAAATCAAATACCCAGGGTCCAACAGCAGGTGTGTTTTTGAGATTTGATTTGAAAACGGATATCAAGGTGAGGAATATGATTTCTTAGCCAGCAGGCAATTGAATGGACATGCTCCTCTAAAAGCCCAAGGGACTTTTATTGTGCTGGAATGGATTCTGTGAGGATAGAACTGCACAGACCTGTGTGTTTTCACTGCTATAAATTATACTGGTATCTGTCACAGTTGATAACCCAACCATAGTCCTCCAACCTCTCTGAATCATCCTGGGAATTACTGGGAGTATGTTAACTAAGAACATGTTACCCGAAGTGTATGGTTCAAAGAATTTATTACATTCAGACACAAGAGGAACAAAGATAAAGCTGATTAAGAAGAGGATGTGAAAGAAACAGCTGTGTCACTTGAATAAAAGAAGATAAATCTAGTGTGAAAATGTAATTCATGTTTTTGGTAACAATGTAAGAAAAGAACCCTATAACCTGTTTTTTGCCTCTAGTAATTTATCAAAGACTATCATGAGTGTCCTCTTTTGTACAGGAAGGTGTTACTTTCTATCCGCAAGGGAGATGTGCTTTCAGAGATTTTTAGAATAACTCATATGTATTTGCTCCTCTCTACGCTCATCTCATTCATCTGGCAGAGCCCCATTCCTGCGTGCAACCAACTTTCTCTCTACCTCACATCTGCATCTGAGCAGCTAACTGGCTGAAGAAAACCATGTATCTTTGCTTGCTTGTTCCAACATAAATGTATAACAGCAGATTGCAAGCAGCCCCTCAGCATTACCAGGTCATCCTTCTGTATTTCCCAATTTGACTACCTTTCTGTCTTTCCGAAAGTACTAATTCACACATTTTCCTGTCTCTTCAAACCTCCAGCATCACCTCCGCACTCTTCACACTTGAACGACCTGCATTCTTCTTTCACTAATAAACAAAAAGGTCCTCTCACCATCCCTCCACTAGTTGCATCAATCTGCATGGATTTGCACCCCAACTTTGGTGCCCCACACCCCACAGTTAGGAAGGATGAACTGCCCCTGTTCCAAGTTAAGACCAATTCCCACTTGTGAGTATACCAGTTCTGCTCAAAGTAATCTTTACTCTCTTGTGTCATCAAATTTTCCTCTCTCAACTGGATCATTCTTACCAAGACACTTAACATGCTGTGATCTCTCCCATCAATGACCTCCACATTTCCAGTGCAGTAGAGAATTATCAGCCTTCACGTTACTGATCTGTATGTTGATCACTCCTTTCTCCTTTCTCTTAGAACAGTTCACTTGACATCCAGGAAACTTCAGTCACCTGATTTTCTTTCTGTCTCTCTGGCTGCAGTTTCTTAGCCTTCTTAGTTGGGTCCTCTTCCTAACATTTGAAGTGCTCTCTTCCTTCCTATCCTCAGTGACTCTTACATTTTCCAGGCTCAGGTTTAGATACCCAAATTGGTCTCTCTAATCCTGGCTTCTCCCAAATTCCAGGTGCCTATATCCACTGTGTACTTGACATTTCCACCTGAATATCAACTAGTGCTTCAACACAAACATGTCCAAAACAACTCTTGGCTCTCCCTCCCAAACCCACCGATCTTCAGTCTGCCCCATTTTACCAAAAGCAGAACTCTCACATAGTTGCTCAGACTCTATACCACAGCTGTGATTGGTCTCTTTTCCTTACTCTTCACATCTAGTCTATCAGCAAGTTTTGTTGCTTGCTGGGTCTCCCTTCAGTGTACATCCTAAGTTCCCCTACTCATGGCTGTTCCCACTGTCGCTATCCCTCGTGGAGGTGATGGTGATGTTTTCTTACTGCTCTTCTTCTGCCCTGCTCCCTACAGCCTACTCTCCACACAATGTCAGAGTGATTCTGAAAGTGTTCAATCATTTTCATTCTTTGCTACAAAAGTGCCAGTGGATTTCCATCATATTTCAAATGAAATCCAAACTTTATTCCCTTGCTTGGAAGTTCTTCATGGTCTGGCCACCGCCTATTGCTCCCTCTGTATCCTTTCCATTCTTCCTTCACTTAGTTCATGCTTGACTTCATGCGTTTTGATGAAGGCTCACTTATCAGGCTCACTTCTGTCCTAGCCACTTCTTTTTTCCTGAAAGAATGGTCTCCTGACTCTCCCATGTCTTGATTTCTCACTTTATGCAGGTTTCTGCTCAAATTGCAGGCAAATCTTCTCTGAGTCCAGTATTTGAATAATAATCCAGAGCTTTACTCTATGTATACCATCTTCTACTTGAAACTGTGTGTGTGTGTGTGTGTGTTGTTTTTATCCATTTTCCTACACTAGAATGCAAAAGCTATGAGTTGTTAGCACCTAGAAGAGTGCCTAGCATGTAGGAGGTGCTCAAGAGATATTTGTTGGTGAACAAATTGCTTTTTGCATAATCTCCTGGGGACTCAATGGCAGGCTTTAATGAGATGGCTTGCCGGGGATGGGAATGAGGAGGTAAGAGGAGGCAGGGAATGAAACTAACATTATCGAGTACCTTCCATAGCCAGGCACTTTACATATGTAATGGCACTTAAGTGACTCATAAAATCCTTTGAGCCATAGTTCAGACCCAGATCTTCCTGACTCTAAATTGCATTTTTTCAGGTTGCCTTCTCTGGGGAAATGGTGGCCACCAACCCTGAAGGTTTCATAGAGGTGCCAAACTGGCCTCTTGAATTCTGTGCTGATTGTTCACCTTGCCTTCCTTCCTGTATACACCACAGCAAATAAACCAGCAATGACCTTCTGTAAAGCATAACTCTGAGAGTGAGGTGTGTCTTGTTCATCTTAGATTCCCTCCCTAAGGGCCCAGCACATTCTTAGCAAACAACAGTGACTAGATGAATTTATGTGGAATTGAATTAGTCAGAATGATTGTTACAATGTTACATCAATATCACAGATCAGTAACCAAGAGCTCTTTCAGGACACAAGGGGATAAGACATTTGCCAGCAGTGATTTATGAAAGTATAAGAACAAGGCCTGTGTATAAAAAAGGAAATTTGAGAAAATACCTTCTACTTTAGGATTTAGCTAAACATACAGGTACTATATCTATGTCTTTGGTTTCTTTGTACTTTAAGATGTGACAGGCCATTATATTTTCTTCAAGTTTGTTAAGAACATTAGGCTTAAGAAATAATGAGTCAGATTTCCTGACACTTAAAACTCTCACTGTTTTCAACACTGTTTAAGACATAAAGATACCACACACGTATCTAGTGAACTCAGTGAGAACTCCAGTCCATGCCATCAAAATCTATCTGCACAATTTTCTTAGTCCTTGCAAACCACTTATTCAAATCTCAGAATTTCTGAGGCAGTAGATGAGGAGATGCTAAAAGCATTTCTCTAGGTGGCATTTTTTTTTTTAATTTTTTATTGGATTATAGGTTTTGGGGTACATGAGCAGAGCATGCAAGACAGTTGCGTAGGTACACACATGGCAGTGTGCTTTCTTTTCTTCTCCCCTTCACCCACATTTGGCTTTTCTCCCCAGGCTATCCCTCCCCCCCTCCCCCTCCCACTGGCCCTCCCCTTTTCCCCCCAATAGACCCCAGTGTTTAGTACTCCCCTTTCTGTGTCCATGTGTTCTCATTTTTCATCACCCGCCTATGAGTGAGAATATGCGGTGTTTCATTTTCTGTTCTTGTGTCAGTTTGCTGAGGATGATGTTCTCCAGATTCATCCATGTCCCTACAAACGACACAAACTCATCATTTCTGATTGCTGCATAATATTCCATGGTGTATATGTGCCACATTTTTCCAATCCAGTCTATTATCAATGGGCATTTGGGTTGATTCCAGGTCTTTGCTATTGTAACCAGTGCTGCAATGAACATTCGTGTACATGTGTCCTTATAGTAGAACGATTTATAGTCTTTTGGATATATACCCAGTAATGGGATTGCTGGGTCAAATGGAATTTCTATTTCTAAGGCCTTGAGGAATCGCCACACTGTCTTCCACAATGGTTGAACTAATTTACACTCCCACCAACAGTGTAAAAGTGTTCCTTTTTCTCCACATCCTCTCCAGCATCTGTTGTCTCCAGATTTTTTAATGATCGCCATTCTAACTGGTGTGAGATGGTATCTCAATGTGGTTTTGATTTGCATCTCTCTGATGATCAGTGACGATGAGCATTTTTTCATATGATTGTTGGCCTCATATATGTCTTCTTTCGTAAAGTATCTGTTCATATCCTTTGCCCACTTTTGA